CAAGATGCAACCCTGGACGTCCAGCTCACCAAAAGCAAGCCCAGGGGCAATGAGGTGGAACAATCTGAAAGCCACTCATCTGGACTCTTTGAAGCATTAGCAGTAGAAGTAACTAAGCAGATGAAAGAGGCTCTAGAAAAAAAATCAAGAGCTGGGCATGGTGGGTGATGCACACCTGTAATCCCAACACTTGGGAGGCTGAAGCAGGAGGATCATTGCAAGTTTGAGATCAGCCTGGGCTACAAAGTGAGCTCAAGACCAGTCTGAATGGCATAGTGAGACCCTGTCTCAAAAAGACCAAAGAAAGAAAAAAATCAAATCAGAAATAATTTCTCAGGTAACTACAGAGATGGTGACCATAATGAAAAATATGCTTAATGACTCTAGGGCAGATACAGATAAAAAAAATAGAAGAGCTTAGGAAAATGATGGAAATTATGAATTCCCAACACACAAAAGAAATGGAATCTATAAAACACATTCAAACAGATATCCAGGAGATTAAAAATTCCATTGAAAGTATATGCTGCAGAATGACCCAGCATGAAGAGAGAATCTCAGATATAGAAGACAGGATTGTGGTTACCATTCATGAAAAGAAGGATTTCTTTCTTTCTTTCTTTCTTTCTTTCTTTCTTTCTTTTTTTTTTTTTTGTCTTCTTGAGACAGGGTCTCGCTGTGCATTTCAGGCCAGCCGTGAGCTCACTTTGTAGCCCAGGCTGGTCTCAAACTTGCAATGATCCTCCTGCCTCAGCCTCCTGAGTGCTGGGATTACAGGTGTGCGCCACCACACCTGGCAAGATTTCTTAAAAATAGCAAGCAACCATGAGAAATACATCCAGCATCTGCTAGATGATGCAAAGAAAAATAACATAAAGTTGATTAGAGTCAGGAAAAAAGCAGGATATAGTGCAAATGATGTAAAAAAAACCGGTCAAAAAAAACAAGGCAAAAAAACTCCCCGGCAAGGGAAAAAGAATTTGACATATAAGTGAGGCATATAGAACTCCAATTAGCCATAATAAAAAAAATACACCAAGGCACATAATAGTCAAGATTCCAGAAATACAACACAAGAAAAGAATGTTAAAAGTTGTTAGAGAAAACAAACAAATCACCTATAAAGAAAAGTCCATCAGAATCACAGCAGATTTCTCAACACAAACCCACAAGTCAAGGAGAGCTAGAAGTAAAGTACCTCAAGCCCTGAAAGAAAAGACCTCCAACACAGATTGCTGTACCTCACAAAACTACCTTTCAAAATTGATGGAGAAATAAGATACTTCCATGACAAGGAACACCTGAGGAAAATCATAAGTACCAATCCAGCACTCCAAAATGTTCTGAAGGACATTATAGAAAGAGATAACAAGGACACAACTCCATGAACCCCTAACAGAATGAATCTACCAGGAAAAGCAAACAATTAAACAGAGGGGGAAGAGAAGGGAGCCAACAACAGGGAAAGAACATGACAAGAACAAGTCAATATGTATCAGTTATAATCATCAACATTAATGATCTCAATTCAACAATCAAAAGACACAGACTAGCAGAATAGATTAAGAAACAACATCCAACAATATGCTGCATACAGGAAACACACAATTAAAAAAGAAATTCATAGACTAAAAGTCAAAGGATGGAAAACAATACTCCATGTGACAGGAACACAGAAAAAAGCAGGGGTAGCTATTCTATTTGCAGACAAAATGGATTTCAAGCCAAGAGTGATTAAGGAGAGGAAGAAGGTCACAACATCCTTGTAAAAGAAACAATCCAAGAGGAAGAGATAACAATCATATACACATATGCACCAAATACCAGTGCACCCAACTATATAAAACAAATATTAAAAGACATGAAAAATCAAATAAGACTAATAAAAATGTAATGGGGGACCTCGATACTCCATTGTCACAAACAGATCAACTAGACAAAAAAAATCAACAATGAAATATTAAGACTGAACCAAACTTGTGTTTGTTTTTTTGAGACAAGGTCTCCCTATGTAGCCCAGGCTGGCCTGCAATCATCCTGCCTCAGCCTCTGAGTCCTGGGATTATAGGCAACTGCCACCACACTTAGCCTGAACCAAATTTTTGAACAAATGGACTAAGTAGATGTTGACAGAGTGTTCCACAACATCAGAATACACATTCTTATCAGCTGCACATGGGATGTTCTCCAAAATAGACCACATAATAGCTCACAGAACATGCTTAAGTACATGCAAAGGAATTGAAATTATCCCATGCATATTATCAGACCATAGTGAAATGAAATTGGAAATCAATGGCAAAAGAAACCCCCAGAACTTCATAAACACAAGGACACGAACACTCTCCTGAACAATCAATGGGTCACAGATGAAATTAAAGAAATTAGACAGTTCTACAAGTAAGCAATAATGCCAATACAGCATACCAGAACTTATGGGACACAATGAATGCAGTCTTACAAGGAAATTTATAGCAGTGAATACCCATATTAGGAAAGCAGAGCAAGCTCAAATAAACAGCTTAATGTTGAACCTCAAAGAAGGACAAGTCAAACCCAAAGCTTGTAACAGTCAGGAAATTATTA